GTCACCAAGGAATCCTTACTTTCCATGAAAAGCTGTGTTGCCCAATGTGGTGGCCATTAGCCACCATGTGGCTCCTTAGCTTAAATTTTTTTAAATTCAGTTTCTTATTTGCACTGGCCATAGCTCAAGAACTTAACAGCCGCATGTAGCTAGTGGTTATATTTGGACAGCGCAGGTATAGAACATGTCCATCACTACAGAAGATTCTGTTAGCAACTGTTTAGCGACTCTGACTACTGAAAGAAACCTGAAGTGACTCATACCTTATATACTACATTAAAGGTGGAAAACATGGCACATTTCAATTGTTTTGCTTTCTGGGGGAATCTAATACTAGTAAGCTGTGGCGCTTTTAATTAAATCCAGTGATACATAAAGTTGAAGGGGACAGGTCTTTGCTACCACTATCCCTTGTACTTTTCCCTCAGATCCTGATACTTTCCAGTTACTTAGGACTCTTCCGGCTACAAGCAGCAGCAACTCACCTTGACTAGCTCAAGCCAAAAAGGGGATTCAGTTAAAGGTTTCCAGAGCAGTCAAGGACAAGAATTTAGCTAAGCCTCTGGAACAAACTGGAACCAAGATCTGAGTATTTTGGGGGTCTTGGGGGAGAGTACCAGGGATCATACTCAGGACCTCGTGCTTGCCAGGGAGGTGCTTATACCATGGAGCTATCTCCCTGGACCCCAAGACCTGAGTCTAATCAGCACTCTCTCTGCCTGCATCTGCCTCATTCTGATTTTTCTCTGAAGAGGGGCTTACACCTCTTTTCCATTCTGTAATACAGGTATGACTGTCAAGGGCTCCCAAGGTCACATTTCTTCAATACAAAACACCATCCAAGCTGAGGCCAGACTACTTTGGGCTCATTTCAAACACCTCTGGGTAGATAACACTCACTGGCCTAGCTTGTCTCAGGTGTTTGTTCCTTGTCCAACTGGCCGTGTGCATGGGGTGGGAGCAGGAGCCAAGGAAAGAAACAGGGTTTTGGATAGCCAACCCCAGGGGAGGCCACTACAGTTCTCTACCATTTGGTAGTTCAGTGAGCCCCATTCTGGTTCTGTACCTGGGCTTTCCTTACTTGAAGTATATCATGCATATATATTATTTCTACACCCTATTTTATTTTATTTTTCTTTATTTTATTTATTTATGTGTGTGTGTGTGTGTGTGTGGCCAGCTCAGCCCACCGGGGGGCGGGGCTGGCTGGCATGTGGTGCTGGGGGGTTGAACCATGGTCCCTGTGCTTTACTAAGCTTGTTCTAAGTAGGTGCTTTAGACCACTGAGCCATCTCACCAGCCCCCTATTTTATTTATTTATTAATTTTTTGGCGGAACTGGAGATTGGACTCAGGCCCTTGTGCTTGCCAGGCAAGCGCTTATTCTACTGAGCCATCTCCCTGGCCCCACTATACCCTACTTTAGTAAATGTTTATCTTGTGTTATACTACAACAGGACTTTGCTAGATGACTAAATTAACCTATTCTAGACAACAAACTGCAGCAAAGATTTTAAAGAAACCTTAAATATCAACTTCCTCATTGTACAGGTGGGGTAAAATTGTCTCCTTTGAACTGTTGTCGAGGTTTAGAGACTAGTAATAACAATGCTTATTCCCTTTCAAGTAACACATTTTCAGTTTAACCTGGTATTAATGGAATAAAGTGTCTTCTAGAAATTTCAAACACTAAGAAATATAATGCAGTGAGGGAGACACAAACTTTTAGTGACCTTCAAATTATATAATAAACTTTTATACCTTTAAAAAATGCATCCAAATTGATCCTGCCTAGAACTCAAATTCAAAAATCAAATATAATGCTTCTCACATGCACAAAGTAAAATCTAACAAGCTGTGAGATCTTAGATACAAGTCTACGCTAGTTTCCTCATCTCTAAAATAGGGTAATAATAGTTATCACTTTATGGGGTTGTTATAAGGATTAAATGGGCTACTGTGTAAAGTGCTTAGAATAGAGCCTAACAAAATTAAAACTATAAAAATGTTATCACTTATTCTTTAATTTTTCTTAAACTTCAAGTTGCAATATATCAGAAGTGGATTGAAATACAAAGAAACGGAACAGAACACAGTATCAGAAAGTGCTGCACGTAAGTTATGGTAGTGTTATCCTGTACATCCAACCTGTGAGTTTCAGTGTTTGTTTGGAGCCATTTGAATCAGTGCTTACTGCTTATTTGAGTGTACACCAAGAGTGAGGCAATGAAAAATGGAAACTCCACAGATACTGGCCGAGCACTTTGGGTTCTAACTTCTGTTTTGCCACTGATGAGCAACATAGTTCAGTAGGTGACCAAACCCTACCTCAACTACCCCTGCTGTCAAGGAAGTGAATTTCTAGTACACACTGTATGTAATATATGAAGCACTTTGAACTACGTAAGAGTCCAGCACTACTAATTAGACATTTCTCAACTTGTGTGTTACAAATCATAGCCTGGCAACATCATAAGGCTAATTACAACCCCTCTCTGTTTTTTTTTTTTTTTTTTTTTTTTTTCGACATAGAATCAAAGAGACAAATTCTGATATGTAATAAATCAGATTTTTCCAAACTTCCTAAACATACATGAAATCCCTAGAATTGGCAATAAAATCCACTTACTGTGACTGTTACATGATTTTATTCTTTTTTTTTCTGATTTAAAGATAAAACATTTCTTATACAAGTTTTTTTTTTTTTATCTTACCCATTCTGGCTGTTTTGTTTTGTTCTTCCTCCCCTTCTAATTTCCTAAAGCTTAAGTTAATCTGAAAAAAAGAAGTGTTGGGACACTTCAGAGAGAGAGAGATTAGGTTTTTAAACATCTGGTTTCTATCTTTTTTAAGGCTTGAAAACATGAGACAAGGAACCTTGTGGATCCCTACTGACTTGGCAGATAGCAGAAAAAGCTTCAGGGGAGGGAGGTTAGTCAATGAAAGAAGAAACTTTGCCCTGGCAAGGACTTTAGTACTAACAAATAGGAGTGACATGTGTAGGGAAAGGGGTAGGAAGGAAAACAGCCAAATGCTGTGCAGGAGTTAAAGAGCACCCCTGTCACCATCATCTTAACTAACTGAAATCATTAAAAAAAAAAAAAAAAAAAGATGTAAAGGAAATGGTTGAGAATCTTTGGTGAAGCTGAAGGACCTCAGAGCATTTCCTTTGCTGCTAAAAAAGTCTTTCATGCAAATTTACTGGTCATTATTGGGGAGGATGAAGAAAGAAGAGGCAGGACTACTAGGCTAAAACATCTTTATTCTTTGCAAAAGACCAGAAGGTATAAACAGAAACACAAAACAATGTGTGTATGTCAATTAACATTTTTCTTCTTTATACAAATAATTTGTCATTTTCCACTTTTTCTTACACCCTTTTGGTTTCATATTCCTTATTTTTTTTCCGTATTCCTTTTAATTAAAAAGGAAAGTATCTGCTTCCAAACTAACAGGTGACAAGGCAGATCACATTTGTGATCTCTCAGCTTTTGTTTTCTATTATTACCAGGCAGCCCTAACTACTGAAAAAGGAAGTCTAAACTAAGGACCTACTGGCATCGGTTACGTTGAATTTTTCAGGGATGTACTATTAACTCGTACATAATAGAAGAAGATCAAAGGATAAACTCACTCCCCCCCAGTCATGTGGAGACAAGCACACTCTCACAGTGGTCTCCTTTGGCTTTTTGGGGTTAAGAAAAGGAGGCCACATGAACTCAATTTAGTGGCTAGGTACTGACCAGTACTTAAATTGCCTTTTCCACATCCACGACCTGACCAGTACGCGGAATTACAACACCCATTTCTGAATAGTGCTTATTTTCCTCACGTTTGTTTTTTCCATGATTGTTTAATTCTGTTTCTGAGATACAGAACTATTATCATTTGCTTTTAGTGTTTTTAATTTTACATCATAAAATGAATTTTACTGATAGTTTCTGAAAATCCGTAAATAGGCCTAGAAAACTGTGACTTGGAGGGGGCCCCTCATTTGCATTGGATATATGTAAATGTGCTCTGTTCAGTTTCATTTGCGTTTCAAACGTGTACCTTTGAGGCCAAGACCTTGGCAATTCAAGGGCAAAGTGAATTTTAATGTGCTACACTTTAAACTTTGACGAATTGAAGGAAAAAAATACCCTTAAAGCTCGAATTGTTGTAGCCGAATTTGCCTGTCACTATTTCTCAAACCATTATACAGTATATACAATCACAGACACCAAAAATCCTTTCCTAAAAAAGAGATTCCTGCAAAAAGTGAAATCAAAAGAACAAGGAGAATGATAACATTTAATTTCTCAAAAGCTGTCTAATTTATTTCGGTTCTTAGGCCCTCTGGACACGCTAACAAGTAATTTCACGGCTGATAAAATGACTACTAGACGCTTATCATTAAATACAGTTTTGTAATCATTTTTTTCTCCTTAAATCAGTCATCTTGGTTTTTTAAAAATTGTTTCTTCTCTCCAGGCACAGGAGCCAGGTGCCAAAAGCCGACCGGTGCCAAGCTTCAGTACTGCCCAGTTTTCCACCTAGGCTCTCCACCCAGGCCTTGCGAATATTCTCGAGGTCAGAAAACCTATTCCCCCAGACTCGCAGATGCTCTTCTCCCCCCACCGGTTCTCCACAGAACATCATTATCTGTGCCGAGCTTCTGTCTCTATGGCAATAACAGATGGGAAGTACTGTGGAATTATTCATGTTCAAAAAAGGAGGCAGTCAAGAGGGAGGGGAAGGCGGGGAGGGGGTGGGAGAGGGGGCACGACCTGGGAGCACGGGGATGGCGTGGAGTGGGGGTGGGGAGGAGGCGAGGATCGCGAGCCTTGGGCAAGCGCCTCCAGAGAAGACTGAAAAAATCTGGGCACACAAGGTTTTCCCCGGCGGGTTGACTCTAAATGTGCACCCCCATACGAGCAGCCCCGAAACAGTAAAAGAAAGAGAAATTAGATTAAAAAAAAAAATAAAGGGACAAAGCTCGATTCCCTTAAGTCTGGGCAAAGCTACTGGGTGGACTATTTCAGTTCCTGGTCTTGCGGTGGGGTGAAGAAAAGGGGATTTCTTGATGTTTCGAAATATGACGGAGTAGCTTGGCGGAGTTCAATATGCTAAGTACAGCACGAAGGTCGCAGCTTCCCCTCATCTCGTCCCTGTTTCAGCAAAAAATACCCAAACCTCTACACCCTCAGAAAACGCTGGAAAACCATGTAATTTTCTAGGGTTCCTTTTGGAGCCGAGAGGGCAGCGTGGAGGGAGAGAGGCCCGAGAACCAGGGCAGAAATGTTTGCTCTCGGTCTGGCCGGAACTCCGGCCGCCGCGCCCTCGCTCGCCCGCCTGCTCCGCGGCCGATGGCGGATGGAGGTCGGGCGGGCAGGGCCGGGCGGGGCGC